ACTGTCATCCAGCCACGTTGACTCATAAAACTGACCATCAGTGGGGTGACGCTGGTGCTTGCTCGCAGCGGCTGTGAGGAGAGAGTGGGGCCGTGTGAAGCCCTCAGCACAGACTTGGGCTTGAAAACATCGACGGGGCGAGGCAGGTCCAGTGTCCGTTTCCTTGTCTGGATCACACAGGCGGGGGCGGGGGGGCACGGGGGGAGGAGGCGCGTGTTGGGGGTGGAGGGTAGAGTTTCAGACAAGGTGGCAGAGCAGGGTTTGGGGCCTACTTGTCTGCAAGGGGGTGGGGCTGGCCCATAGAGCCCTGGGCAGGGGGTGGGGCATCTGTGGATTCTGGGACCTGCAAGGCAGGCACTTCCAGAGGCACAAGGTGCTGTCTGGTCACCCAGCCCTCAAGCCCAGGCAGCTACCAAAGGAAGTTTTCAGCCTAGCCTCACGGCTCCTGAAGGCCTAGCCAGGGTGTAACAGTTGGAAATTGTAACAGTGAGGATTTCTAACTCACCTCACCATTCTTTTGACATTGTTTCTGTAAGTGCTCACTCTAATACCTGGCTTGTAGATAAACAGCATGTTTGTATATGGACCCTAGGAACTAATTTCAGAAGATACAGGCTCCAGCCTTCAGGCATCCCCGCTCCAGGGGATAAGCTGAACTTTAACCCTGTCGGCAGGATGATGTAAAACCAGGATGACGTGGTGCCAGTATGACTGAACCAGGTTTTGGTGACTCCAGATTGGATCATATGGAAGCCTGGCAAGGCCTGGAGGGCCCGGGCTTCTGTGTGCGTGGTGGGGGTGGTGGGGGTTGGGGGTCCCAGCTGCTTGTGACAGGCATGGCAGGGATTGCGAGAGTTCCCAGTTCTTTATTCCGGGGACTCTCCCTGTTCTCCCTCTCAAGGCATCAGCCACCTTTAAACGCTTTGCTGGTGAAAGGAAACGGGTCTCTGGGGAGTCAACTGTTCCAATGTTAATAGTTGTGTTTTGGTTTGGAATGTTATCATTCAGAGAGGTTTGCATGGGAATAATACTGCTTTTTAATTGTTAGTTTTGTTTCTCTGTTCCTACACAGGAGGAAGTCAGTTTCAATTTGAGAGCTCTCCTCTGTTTTAAGAGTTTTTTGTTTTATTGTGGGTTTGTTTGTTTGTTTGTTTTGCTTGCTTTCTTATCTTTTGGAGACTTAGTTTGATCTTTGCTGTTTTTGTATAAACCAGGAATCCTCTGTCCCCACCGTTGGAGCTTCCTGCCACTTGGACCTTGTCAGCACCATTCGTGGTACTGGTTGGCATGAGATAGGATTCTCAGGCTAGTCCCAGTACCTCCTTTTAGAGGATTTAGTTTGAGGATACTCATTTATTTGGACTTTATTTTTGCTTTAGATTTCGTTTTTTTTCTGTTTGGAAAGGAACGGCTTGGTCTCAATCTCGAATTGTTTTGCCAAATGTATGGTAAATGGGATAAGATCTCTTATGTGCAAGCTTTCATGTGGTTACATTACAAGGATTCTACTCAGAAAGGATTAAAATTAAGAGTTCAAAGAAGGGAAAGATCTCACTCCCTTCTCAGACAGTAAAACTCAGAAAGAAAAAGAAAAGGAGAAAAAATGGGCATTTTTAAACTTAAGTGGCCCAAGCCATGCTGTGCCAAGCCTGAGATTTACACCACCTTCTCCAGCCTCCTACAAGTTGTCAGGGTCACAGATGATGAAACAGCTCCCTTTTGAGCACATTAAAGGAAGGCAGTAATTGCCAATAATAAAAATGTGAGTATATTTGCCAAAGAACAAAACGTGTTTCTATAGGTTATAAAATGTATTCATAAATTTGTCAATCTAAAAGAATGCTAATTACTCACTTTTAGTTGTCACTAAAACTAAAGTTTCTAATCATTAAAAATTCTAATTAAGTTGGGAAATATATGGTTTGGACAATAAAAGGTATAAATTATAGCAATACAAATGAAAGGGCCAAAAACTCCCTTTGATTTTCAAAAACCAATTGCTATTTTCCAACAGAAACCCCAGGAACAACTGACAGTGGGGAGCAAAGTAATTGATTTCTTGGTCTGATATACTTTCATTTGTAATTCTAATTGTTACAAAAAGGCAAATTTCTTTGTCAACCGCTTTGTAATCTGATCTATAAATGTCATTTTAAATATTTTCTTGTCATTTAAAGACAGTCGTTGTTTTACTCTGATGCATTTGCAAAAAGTGTTACATCTTCAAAAAGACCTGTGGAAAGGACTCTGACTTATTCTAAACTATGAATTTCTGAGAATAAATTTTCAGATCATACTTTTGAAATAGAAGGGGATTTATGGGGTTCTTGGAAATGACGGATTCATAGCAATACTGGCAAACGATCAGGATAAACAGGAGTTAATTTGGGGACTGAATGAATTGAAGATAATTGTTCTTTTTGTGACTTTGCTGATTTTTAAAAACTTGTTTGTTTTCTTAGAGAAATTTGGTAAATTGTAGCAATATTGAAGTATTTCTATTTTTTCCCTACTTGATCTCTCCAGAATTTGGAAACTGTTAATGAGTAAGTATTGTTATTTTCATGGCAATATGTTTATTTGCATGAATTCAATAGGAATATGATTTTTTCCAGTTTCCAATTGTGGGTTTATTAACCAAAACTTTGACTGGAATGTCATGTTTGAAAGAGACATGCCAGGACCCTGGATATCAGCAAAAAAGCTTTAAGGAATAAAGATTGGCTTTGAAGCCAATAGGAGCCCCTTGGAGAAACGGCGTGGTGCTTTGCTTATCCATAGGGTTCATGGTAGTCTTTCCAGGTAAGGAGTGAAGTTTGCTTTCCTCGGAGATGGAAAGGAAAGAATCTCAAGATATTTTGGGGACCTCAAGAACTTGAGGAGTTTACCCAAATCTCTAAGTATTGCAGGCAAAGCTTCATAGCAACTGTATGACTTGGCTTCTCCACCCTGCAGGGTTAATTAAAGCTCAATCTAAAAATTCCTTGTAACACTCCAGCAAAGTAGATTTAAGAAAGCTCATATGATTAATTGCTATTCCTGTTGCGTTTATGCAAATAATTAGGCCAAATTAAAACCAGACTTAATGCAGTAAATAAATTGGTCTTGATTTGGTTCTTTGATAAAAGTGAGGGCAATTTTAGGAGAAAAATTGTGTTTCAATAAAAGCCGTAATACACACTTATGGAAATTAGACTGTAGTTCAGTTAATTGTCTGTAAAATTTTATTTTTCACCTAGGAACTAGACTGGATCCTGAGTTCTTCTAGTGTTCTGAAATGCTTTGGTTACAACCATCTAACTTCCATAGAAATGGAAGAAAAATTGACAGTGGGGATTTGTAACAGTAGAAAATTATAACAGTGGGGAATTATAACCCATCCCACCATTCTTTTGCCATTGTTTCTGTAAGTGCTGACTCTGATTAATATGTAGCTTGTAGATAAACAGCATGTTTGCATAAGAATCCTAGGAACTAGCTTCAAAAATACTGACTCTGACCTTCAGGCATCCCAGCTCCAGGAGGTTTGCCGATCTCCAAACATAAGGTCAGGGTGACATGAAGCCAAGATGACTAGCCCGGGATGGCACGCACCAGACCGTCACTGGTCTTACGGAATGGACTGTGCTCGTCTGCATGTAGAGAACTTCCCACCCCTCTCGCTTGATCTCTTTGTTCTGCTCCCCTCTCCCTCCTTACAAAAACCTCTGCCTCCACTGAGATCCGGAGACGGGCTCTGTGGCAGGAGTCCCCCATCTTCCAGGTGGTCGGCACCTGAAAATAAACCACTTTTCTTTATATCAGCACCTGCCTCTCAAGTGTTGGCTTTCATAGCAGCAGGCAGCCGGACCACTTTTTGGTTACAAGGGACAGGCTGAGAACTTTCCGGGCTCTGGAGATGCCCACCTGGTCAGGCCCCACCTGAGCAGGGGGCTGTGTGCCCTCTGCAAGGGCTGCCGCAGCACCTGCAGCCTGGGTGTGGTTTCCCTGGTCCCTCCACTGTGGGAGCCAGGCCTCTGGGAAGAACCTCAAAGCTTTCTTACACTGCTAAGCCCACAGCTCAGGTGTGACAGGTTTCACCTCCTAATTTGGGCCAGTTTTCTAGAATATTCAAGTCTATGTCACACTCACCCCCACGCACGCACACACATTAAATACACTGGAATGCAGGCATTTCCCCATCTGGGCAGAGGGATCATGATAGTGCCCACCTCCCAGGGTTGCAATGAGGACAAGCCCAGGTACAGTGGTGGGGCTTGATTTAAATGCTTAGTAATAGCTAGTATTTATTTAGAGCTGACTTGGAGCCTACCCGTGGGCTGGGTGCTTTCCACACATTATTTCAGTTTTTCGTGAATAGATAGGGTCCTAAAACCGGAAAACTATAGGGAGGTGCGGGGAGCAGCCCGGGTAGAGTCCCTGGCCTCTAAAATGGCCTGGAAAACTGCGTTTCCTGTGTGCTAAGAGCGAAACTGCCCGTGGCTTTCAACCAGCTCCTCAGAGAAACAAGCACTTTTGGTTTAGTTGGACATTTAGTTAGAATTATTTCAGCGCTGTTTTAGCTTAAAAGAGAATGCGTCTTCACAGGCAAATAATCTAGGTCCCGACCTTGGATAAAGCATCCTTCCCTCCCTCTTGTAATGAACTTTGCAAAAATGTCCCTGAAATCATTTCCAGTGTCAGGCGCGATGTGAACAATGACAGGCCCCAGCGGGCACTGTCGCCTCAAGGCGCCGAGGTTCCGCAGTTGGCAAGGGAGAGGCCGAAGGGAAGTCAGGCTCAGGGAATCTCCGCGGTGGCCCTGGCATCTCCCAGCCCGGGGCGCGCGGTGGCGCGGGGCGGACCGTCGCCCCGCCTCCCTGCCGCGCCTTTTATGGTCCGCTGGGGGCGTGCTGTCCGCTCGGCGAGGGGACGGGAGCCCGGGTTGGGCGTCGGACGGGCGTGCGCTCCGGGGCTCGGGCTGTCCTCCCTCACGTGCCCCTCCCGTGGGCCACGCCCCGCGCACGCTGAATGGGCACGGACCCGGACCCGGGCGCGCGCGGCGCCGCAACCCCGGCCATGGGCAGCTTCCAGCTGGAAGACTTTGCAGCCGGCTGGATCGGAGGTGAGCTCACCCTGGATGGGCGGAACCCCCAGAGGTGGGTGTGATTTCGGGGAGACCCCTGGGGCCGAGAGACAGGCGGGCCAGGCGCCGCGTGGGCCGAGTTTACACCTCCGGCCCGGGACAGGGCACTCAGTGCCCTCCCTTCCCGCCCGCGCCGCGAGCGCCCGTCTCTGAGGGGAGAGCCCGCCGCCAGGAGCCTGGGGTCTTGCGGTTCCCCGCCGGCTGCCCGCAAAAACTCCGCGATCCTCACAGAGGTTCACCTGAGCTCCAGATTTACCTCCACGTTGGGGTCCACGGAGCTTGGTCAGGTAATGATTAAGCCGCTGGTGCAAGCCGACAGCCAATGGAGCGTCCCGGCGCGTACACACCCTTCGGTAACCGGGTGCACTTTAATTTGGGAACGTGGCTCGTGGCTCACAGGAACTTGCGGGCGAGGGTGGCCTTTGGTCGCTGGCCCCGGGGCGGGGGGAGCGGGATGGGGAGCCCGACTTCGTGATCAGACTGGTCCTAGGAGACGCCCGGCTGGAGGGAGTGGATAGTAGGAGCCCTTTCCATCTTCAGCCGGCGTCAGCTGTTCAGGACTCCCCTTCCCTGCTCTGGTCCCCTCTACGCTCCAGCAGCCTCTCTGCTGGGCCCGTGACGGGGTTGCTTGGTCAGGTGTTTCATCCATTTCCTTCTCCATTCTTCTCTTTCTGTTAGGTCTGTGCCTCCTCTTTTCGGATATAAGTGGGAGTGTGGGGGAGGGTTGGAGGGACTTTACTTACTGTAAAATACTGTCTTTCTTTTGGCCCCATCTAAGGGCCATCAGCAAAGGGATGTTGGCAAATGCAGCTCCTCCCCCAAAGACACAATAAAACACTACTGAGGTGCAGAGGCAGAGGCTATAGGTGGAGGCGGGGGAGGGGAGCAACAGGCCAGATGGCATCCAGGTCCTTCCCCTCTGGCATCTCCCCCCCCCCCCCCCCCCCCCGCCACCTGGCAGGAGTGTACTCCCCACGCCCCACAGGTGGCTGCAGGGCACCTGCTTCTCACTGTCCTGAGCAGTGAGAAGGTCATTCCTTTCCTGATGGGCAAGTCTGTTGACACAAGCTCTTTTGGGTGGAGTTGAGACACGCCCCCCCTCATTTTCCTACTCAGGGGGCTGCTCCTGGAGGCCCAGCCTGCATCTCCAGACCTCCTCAGATACCCCTGCAGCCATTCCAAGGGAAAGCTTTCCCTCAGCTGCCCCCTTAAGTAGCCAGACTGACTTCAGCGGGGCTGGGGGTGGCTTGGTTTAAGAGACCCCCGGGAAGCCAAGGCTGTGGGAGGAGCTCCTTGGAGACCCTCGCTGGTGCAAGCCCAGGTGGTGGGTTGCCCTTTATTCTGTAGTCGTCGGTGCTTCTCTGATGGTAACATGTCTTTTTATTTTTTGCTTCCATGAAATGGTGATGGATGTAGTAACGATGAATACTCAGGAGGTACCAGGTACTGTTGAAGTGCCTTGGTATATTTTTCAAAACCCCTCTATTAAGGTTATTTTACATACTCTAAAATTCACCCATTTCAGGTATACAAGTCAGCGCTATTTTTAGTAACCTTACCAAGTTGTGAAACCATCACCCTAAATTAGTTTTGGAGCATTTCCCTCCCCCAGTGAGGTCCTTATGCCCATTCACAGTTCAGCCCCACCCCCTCCTTCTCCCTCTGGGCAACCAACCACTCATCTACTCTATGGCCCTATAAGCTTGACTTTTTGGGGCATTTTATGTAAATGGAACCGTAAAATATGTGGTCTCTTGTGTCTGTTCACTTCTTTCTTTATAATTCCGATGAGGCTGCCACTACGATCACACCCGCCTTTTACAGATGGGGGGATGGAAACGGTTCCAGGGTCATCTTAACCCCTGTGCTGGGCTATCACTGTTTTCTTTCTTTTTCCTTTTTTAAAAAAGGGTTTTATTTATTTATTTTTAGAGAGGGGGGAAGGGAGGGAAACATCGATGTGGGAGAGAAACATCGGCTGGTCGCCTCTCATAAGCACCCTGACTGGGGATCAAACGTGCAGCCCAGGCATGTGCCTTGACTGGGAATCGAACCGGTGGCTTTTTGCTTTGCGGGATGATGTCCAACCAGCCGAGCCACATCAGGCAGGGCTAGCTGTTTTCTCCCTTAATGACCTTGCATGATAAACTTTCACCATTACATCCTTCATGTTTTGTTTGAAATTTTGCTGGTCCGTGAAGTTCCAAGGCCTGGAAACCACGGACTTGGTGGTCTGAGTTACGTTGCGTCCCCTGCTCTCTGATGGGTGGGCTAAATGAGCAGGGAGCGACTGGCCCAAGGCTGGATCAGGGAAGGGCCGCTTCCCTGGGCTGAGGGATGCCCATGGCCAGGGGCGCACTCACTGGGCGGGGGGCGGCGGCGGGGGGGGGGGGCAGCTGGAGCCTGAGGACCAGACTCCTGTGCTCCCCTGATGGGAGGGATTCCCGGGGAGTGGATACTCCCTGCTGCCCGTCACCTTCTGCCTCTGCCCAGTTCTGTGGGAAGCAGGGGCTGAGAGGGATCTGGAGGTTCTAGACCAAGGAAGAGTTTGCTCTGGAATTAGCTGTTTTTTCTCCCCCTGTGAATATCTAAAATTCCAGGCCCCGTTACCTGCCTCACTAGGTGAGCAGAGGTACTTTTCCTCATCACTGCGGTGGGGAGTTTGTCTTAGAAGGACGGCTCCTGTTTCGACCTCCAAGTCACTGACCTCTGCGGCCAGAGCTGCTTCCTCTACATGGCCTCTGGGTGGCCTTCTCAGCTCCACAAGGGCCCAGGGCTTGTGAACCTGTGCGGACAGGCTTTCCTCAGTGGAAAGACCCAGAGCACCCCTCACGTTTTCGTAGAGGCCTTCTTTAAAAAAAATCAACAGCAACAGCATCTCTTTTTGAATTGCCCTTTAAGTTCCAGGCTCCCTACTGGTGCTTTACATTCATTTCCTCATTTTACTCTTATCCTCAAGTAGGTGCTAATATTATTCCCACCTCCACATGCTAAATGTGAGGGGTGGGAAAGTTAAGTCACCTGCAGGTAACTGAAAAGTCTCTTGGTGTTCCCTTCACCCCCTCCCTCCTTTTTTGACATGAAATCTACATAACAGAATTAGCCATTTTAATCCAGTGACGTTTGGTACATTCACGGAGTTGTGTCACCGTGGTCTCTGTTTGGTGCGGAAACATTTTCCTCGTGCCCGGAGAAGTCCCTGGACCCAGGCAGCGGCTCCCGCGGCCCCGCCCCACGCCCTGGCAATCGCTAACTGTCTCCTTCTGTCTCTAAGGGTTTACCTATTCTGGATAATTCATATCAATGGAATCATATAATATGAGACCTTTTGGGTCTGGCCTCTTTCATTTGCATGAAGTTTTCAGCATTCATCCACATGGCAGCCTGTATCAGCACGTCATTCCTAGTTCTGTCTAATAACATTCCATTGTACGGAGAGCTCACGTGTGTTTACCCACTCATCCAGTGACGCGCAGTTGGGCCATGTCCACCTTCCGGCTATGGCGGATAGCGCTGCTGTGGGCAGGCGTGTATGTGTACTTGCTTGAGCTCCTCTTTTCATTTCTTTTGAATATTTACCCAGGAGTGGACTTGCTGGGTCATGTGGTAATTCAATGCTTAACTTTCTGAGGAACTGCCCAAGTGTTTTCTGCAGTGGCTGCCCCATGTTATAGTTCTACCAGCAAGGTACGAGGGTCTCAATTTCTCCGTACCGTCTCCCACATTTATTTTCCTTTTTTTTTTTTTGGTCTAAATTATAGCTATCCTAGGGTGCAAAAAGGAATTCATTGTGTTTTGATTGGCATTTCCATAACGACGAATGATGTTGAGCATCTTTTCATGTACTTGTTGGCTATTTGTGTATCTTCTTTGGAGAAAGGTCTATTCAAGTCCTTTGCCCATATGAAAAAAATTTTTTTAGGTAAAGTGTCTTTACATATTCTGGATACTAGATTTATATCAACTATATGATTTGCAAATACTCCCCCCCCGCCATTCTGTAGATTGATTTCACTTTCTTGATGGTATCCTTTGATGCACAAAAGTTTAAAATTTTTATAATGTTCAATTTGTCTATTTTTTCACTTGTTACTTGTGCTTTTGGTATCATATCTAAGAATCTATTGCAAATCTGAAGTCATGAAGGTTTTCCCTTGTGTTTTAGTATATGATTTTTATAATTTTAGTGTTTCCATTTAGGTCTTTGTTCTATTTGGAGTTAATTGTTTTATAAGGTATGAGGAGGACGGGGGTCTCACTTCATTCTCTTGCATATAAATACCCAGTTGTCCCAGCACCGTCGACTTTTTTTTTTTTTTTTTTTTTTGGTGGAGGGGGTGCTCATTTCTTGATGCAGAGCCGGGTTTTGCTCCATTTTCTCTGCCTTCCTCCCTGCCCGGGCCAATGCCAGGCACGTGGCGAGTCCTCTCTGGTGACGGCAATGACCAAATAAGTGAATGTAAGAGCCTGAGCCCTGTGACCTGTCCCAAGAGCCAGCGAGTGCAAGCTAGGAGTCCAGGGGCCGAGTGACCGGGTATTCTTTTTCAATCCACAGGCGCGGCCAGTGTCATTATCGGCCACCCTCTGGACACGGTCAAGGTATGGTAGCTATGTTTGTCATTTCCTCTTGCCAAGGGGCCTGGAGTGAGTCTGCCTGCAGGACTGGGCCTGCCGTGTCTGCTCCCGAGAGTCCCCAGCCCGTGCAGCCGTGGTGCCGGGAGGCCTGGTTGGGAATGGCTCTGCCCCCCTTGCCTGGCAGTGATTTTGTTTTGGCGGATGTTCCATTTCTGCCTCCAGGTTCTCGTGAGCTGTGGGGGAGGGGGAAGGCGCTGGTGAGTGTTCTGTAGGCCCCGTGGAGCTAAGGAACCAGGAAAGGCTTCAAATGAGCCCTACATTTAAGGCTGGGTTTCAGGTGACTAGAAAAGCCATTTTAGGCACAGAGGACAATGTGGGCAAAGGCACTGAGACGGGCCCCTCCGCGGGGCCTCCGTGGAAAGGCCAGCGGGGGCAGCTTGCTGACGCACCAGGTTTCTGGCCCCGCTACGAGAGCTACCGCTGTGCGTCCAGGAGAGGGAGGTCCGCACTCAGTGTTTGGGGGCCTTGGGTGTCAGCTTAGGACTCAGGAAAGGGGAGACTTTATAAGTCAAGGAGGCTCACATGGTGTGAGGACTGAAGCCAATAGTGCCATCTGGCATGGGGCCATTAAGCCCCTCGGTCTGTAAGTGTGGAAACTGACTGAGAACAGGAAGGGGCTTGCTCAGGTCATGTGACAACTGGAAGAATCACTGAGTGAGATACTACAGAGGAGCATTCTTTGACTCTACTCTACCCCTGCCTCCTGTCCCCAGTGGCGAGCAGGACTCAGAGCCATACCCTGAGAGTGGCATCCACACCTGTGTCTAAAGTTCCGCCTGACTCGCACACAGCGAGGCCCCGCGGCCCTTCTCCCACAGCTGCCGCCGCCTCCTTTCTCCCCGCTGGCTCCCCGCGCGGTAGCGGCCCCTCCTGGGTCCGAGCCAGCCTGCTCTCTGATGGGGAGGCCAGCCTACTGGTCTTAAATAGTTACAGATATTTCCTGGCTGCTCGCATCCCTCATAAGGGCCCTGCCTTTTGCTCACATGTCAACCGCCTATTGGACACTTTGTTGGGTGCCATGGGGAGGGCAAGGCATCGGTGGAGGACCGAGCAAGTGCCACCCCTGCCCTGCAGACCTTACAGTCATGTCTCTAATGCAGGCGAGCTTTGTGTCCCACCCCCGACCCGGCCACCACCGCCTCCTCACACAGGCAAGCCTGGCCACATGTCACCTGAAAATGTTGGGGCTCTCCTCCTTCTCTCCCCTCTGTCCCTGAGCCTCTGGAGGGAACACTTTCTGACACAGAAAATCCACAGAAAATCATGTCTCGGCTCAGCCTGAGAACCAGCCCACTGAGGGTGCGGCCTCTGACGCCAGCTTCCGTGGACCCGCCTCCGGGGCCCGCCCAGGGTGTGGCCTAGGGCCCTTGTGTCTCTCCAGAACATCCTCCTTCTTCCTTCTTTCTGGCTGACATTTTCTCTAGAATCCCTGTCCACGGAGAGAGGTCCGGGCAAGAGCTTCGGATGACCTGGCCTCCCCACCTGCCCTCCTGTGGCCAGGGCACAGCGCTCAGCCCCCCTGAGCCTGGGCGTCCTCGTCTGTGAAACGGGCAAAGAGCACCTCCCCGGCGGGGCTGCCACGGAGATGCTCACTGGGACACCGAGGACAGAGCAATGAGCGGGCCTTTCTTGTCCCGCTGGACACCTACGCTGGGATGTGTCTGAGGCCCCAGGGCCGGCCCGTGGGAGAGCCAGGCTAGAAGGATGGGCCGGGCTGCTGAGCTGGGTCAAAGTTCCCTTCCCCGGCCTGCAGCTGCCTCGTCACAAGTGGGAGAGCAGCCCCTGGCTGCTCGGTGACAGTGGGGCTGGGGCCGGGGTTCTTACCTGGCCTCTGCCGTGAGACCAGGGTTTCCAGTCAGGGCTTGGCTGCCTATAGACCAGCTAGCAAAGAATGAGAGAATAGATTTGCATTGTTTTAAGCCACTAAGTCATTTGTTACAGCAGCAACAGGCAACTAATACAGGGAGTCAGCTTTCTTCATCTGTAAAACGGGGATAATATCCATGCCATGTAGCATTTGTGGGGTTCAGTGAGATACATTCTGTAAGGTGCTCAGCGTCTCCCCAGGCATACAGTTGGTGCACATTAAATGCCAACTCTCGTTGTAATTGGATACCCCAGAGGCTTGGGCTGGGCTGCTGGCCTCAGTGGGTGGCGGCCTCCCACGTGCTCCGCACGGCTGGCAGACCTTTGCTCCGTGACCCTGATGCGGGTCTGGCTCTTGGGCTGTGTGCCCTCGTGTATGGTTTGCTTGAGTGACTTGACCACTCACCATTCTCAGTGGGAACTTGATCCCTCCTGGGGTTTAACCGTTTGGTGGACGCACCCCCCAGGGCCGGCCCTGAGTGCTGGGGCCGGCGGGGGCAGTGGTCGGCCTCAGGCCAGCCTTAAGTGGGGCGGAGGGTGGCCTGCTCCCTGACCTGCCCGGGCCCACGTCTGTGCCCTGGCTGGGGATACGGCCGCCCCAGGCGGACCTCTGTGGCCCTGCTTAACCAGGGGACCCGAAGGCCCAGTCCTCACCTTGTGGCACCTTCCAGCGCGTCGTCCCCACCACGCAGCACTCTGGCCCCTGGTTTATTTCCCCCTTGGCACTTGTCATCTGACATAGATATTTACTTGGGAATTACTTTTTACTGACTGTTTCTTCCAACCCCACTTGGTTTAGCTCCACGAGGGCAGGGAGTTTGTTTTCTCCACTGCAAAATGGGGACAGTACCCATGCCACATAGCATATCTACTGTGCCATTCCCTGAGATTGGGCCGGTGATGGCTGTAAAATAGGTACTCGGTAAATATTGGTTGAGTGAGTCAGTAAGTATGTTCCTCTGATTACGAAAGCAACATTTATGAACAGTGTGTTACCATCGAAGGACCATCCCAACAGGAGTACTGCGTGTTTCCTCTGGCTCTCTGTCCGTATAAACCGTTCAGATGGATGCCTGTCGAACTCTGAGCCCTGCTAGTAGCCATGCTTACTAGCTCGGGGGAGGGGTGGGATCAGTCGGAGGGGTAGGGCTAAGGAGATTTCAGCTTTACGTGTAATGTTGAAAATTTTTTTTATTAACAGAATGTAGTCCCACGTTAGTTTTGTACTTAAAATTATATTTTAACTATATAAGCTCAAAATCATCAACGTAGCCCCTGCGTATTGTGGGAAAGTTGGGAAATGAAGAAAAAAGTTCAATGTAGCAAAACAGGACCCATGGTTTTCCCTGCAGAGGCCTCCACTTTCGTGACTTGCGTTCTCCCGGGGCCTCCTTCACGCGTCTACAGGTCGGGCTCAGGCTGTTGGTGGGAAGCGTTAGCCTGCGCCTGGGGCCTTGGCTCCTTCTGGGACTCTGGGTTCAGGTGGTGGGGGGCAGGGTCCCCATCTCCTCTGTGGTTCTCACAGTTCCTTCCTCCCGGGCGCAGCAGGTTTGGGAGCTAGGGAAGTGTTTCCATGGAGAATTACAGGCCACATACCCTGAAAGGAGTAGAACCCTCCACGGCCAGAGTATGGGGCACCCTGGGCACTGTCGTGAGCTTACTTAGACCCTCTGCACCCACATGGGGCCCCTGGCCACCGCAGCCAGCCTCCATGGAGGCCACCACGCCTCCGTCATCCTGGCAGTACAAATGGGCCATGTGCGAGGGCCCCGTTTGGCTCCAGGGACAAAAGAGAAGTAGGAGTCAGCTCTGCCCCAGAGGGGGCACCCAGATAAGCCCTCAGTAAACGGGCAAATGTGACCGCATCGCAACATTTAAGCTCAGACCAAAAAGATGAGCAGGTGCTGGAGGAAGAGCCTCCCGAGGAAAGAGCAGAGGCACAAAGTTCTGGAGGCAGGAAAGAAGGGATGCTCCAGGGAATGTGCTGTGCTGGGGGCGGGGGGGTGGGGGAGAGAGGCAATGGCCAGGGAGGCTGACAGGCAGGCGCGGGTGCTTACGCAGGGCCCCCTGGGTGCTGGCAGAGGGTGCGGAGTTTATTCTGAGTTGATAGGAGGCGACTGCAGCGCTGTACACAGCAGTGACATAGTTCATCAGGCCGTCAAAGGTCGCTCTGGGTCGGGGATGGAGGCGGAAGCAGGAGGCCGTCGAGGAGGCCAGGCCATCATCCAGGTGAGAGATGAAGGATTTCTGGGGGTGCAACGAGCAGGTTGCTCCGGGGAATACTTAGGAGGGCAGAGTGACACACAGGATGGGACAGAGCCATGCCACAAGTTAGCTTTTTGTACTCAAGAGGCAGGAGTCAGACGTTCCCAAACAAGCATCATTTTTGCTCAACAAACTGACCTTTTTCCTCTCTGGGACCAGGAGGGCTCCTGCTGCATTAGGGAGGGCTCACGGGAGATGGAGGGACCTGGTGCAGGTGGGAGACAGAGGGCCAGCCTGTCCAGGACTGAAGCCCAGGCCTCCCTGCTGCCCCGGTCACTTTGGGCCAGGCCTCCTGTCCCTTCTCTGCGCCTCAGCGCTGGAAGCCCCGCATCCCGGGGGCAGTGGGGATGTGAGTCTCCTCTGGGCCTCACCCCCTTGCCTTTCTCCGCAGACTCGCCTGCAGGCCGGCGTCGGCTATGGGAACACCCTCAGCTGCATCCGCACTGTGTACAGGAAGGAGAGTGTAAGTGCCCCTCAGGCGGGCGGCTGGAGCTCTACCCACCAGGGCCTCCCACCAAATGGGGCGCAGCCCACCCGGGCCTGGGGACTGAAGCCACAGCCCTCCCACCAGCATGTCGGGTGGAAGGCTGGTTTGTCCTCACTCATCACACTTGGCTCAGTTTTCCCTGATCACCTCACACCATGCCTCAAATAGTGTGTGTTACCCAACCCTAACCTGCCACCTAGTGCGATGTTGTTGCAGGAAAAAAACCAGGTTTGTATAACCTCTCTGGAGAAATTCTGAGGAATTTAGAACCACAGTGTGGAAAGTTACTGCAAAAAACAGGGTGACTCGTCAAGTTTTTCAAAACCTAGTGAGTGAGTGGCCAGTACCATGTGCCCACAGGCTTCCCTTTATCCTGGCGCAGTGGCCGGAGCCGGGCGCTCTGACGTCACACGCCCACAGCTGGCTTGTGCCACAGGTTGCTGAAGACCGTGGGACCTGAGGTTGGTTGGTCTGTCTGTTTTGCAAAGGGGAAAACCTGAATAATATTTTATAGAAGATGCATCAGGGGCCCTTCTTGAGAATTACCATGCACTTTAGGGAGACTTCCTAAAGCCCTTGGTGGGGGATTTAAAATAAACTTTAAAATTTAGGATGATACGGCCTGTTGATTTAAAGCAACGGTCAGGTGTCAGCCACGTGGCAGCCCAAGGCTTTTGCTTGAGTCCCGGGGAACATGGCCCCGTTGCTGACCGGGGACTCGGGAGCCTCCGCCCCCACGCCCAGAGTTCCCCCACGGGCCACGGGCCTCTCGTGTCAGCGTGTTCCAACTGGGATCGGCAGCTTTACAATCGGGGCGAGTCTGCCAGCCTGGCATCAGGCTAATGTGCGCTTCTTCAGTGTCCTGAAAGGCGGCTGTTGATTCTCCCTTGTTGGCACATGTTCCCCACAGTGTCTGCCAGCCAGCGTCCCAGCTCCGGGGTTTCTGTGGGGACCGTGGGTGTCCCTCTGAGACACAGCAGCTTGGGGCTCGGCAATGTCCCAGGTTACCTGAGGAAGAGGCTAAAGCAGGGTGTGTGCGTGTGCTGCTCGCGGTGTGAATAGGCACGGGTGAGGTGCCCTGTCTCTGGCGATTCAGGGTCAGCAGGCTTGCATGTAGCCTGGGGTTTGTGCGGCAGCTCCTGGTGCCTTTCCACCTTTGGCAAGGCACTTATGGTGCTTCCCTGACTCCTCCAAGGGCTTGTGGAATTTTCCGGTGCCACCGCGGCATCTGTGGTGTTCACTGAGAACGCAGCATGGACGGGACCCAGGCCTCGCCCTCAGCACCCCCTCCTCAGGCTCCTCCATCCTGGGTGTGTGCAGAAGCCTCTCTCTGCTGTTCTTCCAAGGGCTCCTCCCTTGAGCTGTTCTTCCAGGAGACATTCATGTTCAGGGGCACCCCTGCGGGGACTGTGGGACCCTTTTCTTAGCCCCTCACCTCAAGCTTAGCACATTAGATATATTTTACACTTTTTATTGATCATTTTGAGAGGCAGAAACACCGATTTGTTGTTCCACTTATTTATGCATTCATTGGTTGATCATTTTTTAAAAGATTTTATTTATATTTTTAGAGAGAGGAAGGGAGGGAGAAAGAGGGAAAGAAATATTGATGTGTGAGAGATACATCAATAAGTCACCTCTCACACACACTCCCAACTGGGAACCTAGCCTGCCACCCAGGCATGTGCCCTGACTAGGAATCGAACTGGCAACCTTTTGGTTTGCAGGCCGTCTCTCCATCCACTGAGCCACACCAGCCAGCGCTGTTGGTTGAGTCTGATACATCCTCTGATTGAGGATCAAACCCACAGCCGTGGTTTACTGGGACAATGCTCTAACCACCTGAGCTCCTCTCAGGGCTCTCAGCACATTGTATGTTAATTTGTCTGTCCAGGTTCACCCTCCCCCACTCTGCCCTGACTGTGAACTTGGTGAAGGCTTTTCTTTCTTACCGTTGTCCCCCAGGGCCTGGCACCTGGCAAGTGCCCAGAGAACGCTTTCGGTGGCGTGGCCAGCGCGGAGGGTGTGTGTGTGATGCTCGGCAAGCCCGCCACCCCGAGGCTCCGCAGGCGCCCCCTCGGCCAAGCCCGGGAGCACTGCCACTGCCGAGCAGACGCTGGTTCCTCCTCAGTGCAGGGATGTTCTCACCACCTGTCTCTCCGTTCACAGCAGCATCCCCTTTGCCCTCTTCCCTGGCATGCTGGTTTATTTGTGTGCCGTCTCCCCACCATCCCGCAGGGCCCAGCTGGCGGGAGGGCAGGGTCTGTGCCCAGGACGGCGAGGGGAACTTGGCCCCTGCCTGCAGTTCTCACACTTCCTCCCCCGGGGTTTCCCCACAGGTGTTTGGCTTCTTCAAGGGCATGTCCTTCCCCCTGGCCAGCATCGCCGTCTACAATTCAGTGGTGTTTGGGGTCTTCAGTAACACGCAGAGGTTCCTCAGCCAGTACCAGAGCAGCGAGCCCGAGGCCAGCCCACCCCACACCCTGTCGAGCCTGCTCCTGGCCAGCATGGTGGCTGGCGTGGTGTCTGTCGGACTGGGCACGCCCGTGGACCTCATCAAGATCCGCCTGCAGATGCAAACACAGCCATTTCGGGAAAGTAAGAGGCCGGGAGGGGCCTGGTATCCGGGCACCTGTGACCCTCACCTGATTTGCCAGATCTGGGGTGTGGTGGTTAACATCCTTCTTACAGAGTGAGGTAGCTACATGGTCATATAGTAATTGTTACTTCATCTAGAGTAGTAACTTTTCATTGGTTAGTATTTACTACATGTTGGGCATCTGCTAAGAGCTCTGCTTGTGTTCTCTTAGTTCATCTTTATAACCACCCTGTGAGGCAGGTGCTACTACTCTTTCCATTTACAGAGAAGAAAACTGAGACTCCCCGAGGTTAAGATACTAATCCAGGGACGCACAGTGAACGACCGGTGAGTGAGGACCAGCTACGTAATTTGCGGCATCCAGTGAGAAATGAAAATGCGGGACCCGTGTTCAAAAGTTATGAAGAATTTTAAAAGGGTAGAGCATTAAGCCAGGCATGGGGGTGCAGGCCTCCAAGACGCACCTGCTCTGTGTACCAGGGAGTGCGGCCGGGGAGGCCCCGCACCTGCACGGGCTGCGGGGCGTGAAGGGGCCGCCCCTCTCCCCGCCCTCGCCACTCCGCCCGCTCCGATGAAAGCTTGGTTTCCGGTTCTGGGGCGCTCTGCGGCCACTCCCGCACCACAGTGCACCTGTCAGTTCCTCCTTGCTGGGAAAGAGGCTGCTGCGTCTTCTCCTGGGAGCGGTTCTGATGAGGCGGGAAGGTGCGGGAAGGCACTTGCTGTGCAGAGTAGAAAGTGCCAGCTTGGAAAGGATGAGCTGGGGGTCTTAGAAGCCAATTTCACTATCTTGGAGTTTGGCTCTTCGCTCTAATTTCTCCCTCTCCTCAGGGAAGGTACTGCCCCTCCCTAGGCCTTGGTTACCTTTTCTGTATAGTGGAAGGGCTGGATCCTTCCTGTCGCCTCAAATAGCTGATCGGGGTTCACTGCTCCCGTGGTTAAGACCCCTCTCCCTGGCCAGCCTTCTGCGTGTGACCCCTGTGTCCACAGAGGCGGGGGCTCAGCGGTGCCCACAGACTGGGCTCCGAGAGCTCGCTCAGGGCCATCCCAGGCCAGCACTTTTCCGGCCACAGCCCAGGGGCCTTGATTCAGCCGAGGACAGGCCTGCGGGTCCTCTGAGCATGAAGCAGAGGCTCCCCCTTTGGGGCATGCGGAAGGCCAGGGCTCTGGCTGCCCGAGGAGGCGGGTCACACCTAATGGGCACCCAGGGCCCAGGCCCCATGTTGCTGTCAGTATCAGGAGAGACACAGGGCAGCAAATGCGCTGGCTCGTGGTGGGGGCGGGGTGATGTTACGGAGCAAAGCCCGTAGGGGCCACCCAGGGATACGTACAGCAAGGGGAGCCCTCCCTCCTTCTACTCGACATATTGAGTAGTGTCTCCATACAGTTTCGTTTGATCAAATGGCCGCGTCTCTGAGAAACATTCGAGGCTTGCTAATCTGGTGCCATCCCAGGGTGAATGCTAAGGTGCAGCGGAACGAAGGGCATTGTGAGCAGGCTTGGACCCCGAGCCGGCCTTCTGCTCTGTCCTGTCTCCTTCAGAAAAGCCTGTGTTACCTCAGGTGCACAGCAAATCTCTCCCTGTGTCTTAAAACTCTTTGGGGACCAGGTGTTGGAAGAGTCTCAGTGATGAGGTGCCTCAGCTCATGGGCACAGCCCTGCCTGCTTCACAGCCTGGGCGCCTTGTTTCTGGAAGTGGAGGGGATGGGGATGGGCATAGAAATAGATGAGAGGGGCGCGCAGCCGGCTTGGACACCTGGGGAGGCGTTTCTCAGGTAGTGCTTCCTTCAGAAAGCCTGGGACATTTGGAGGGAAATTAATTGGTGATTGATGAGCGTTCTTCTCCTCTTCCTCCTCCTCCTCCTTTTAGCAAGAGAAAATAACCACATTTAATGCACACAGATGTATGGGAGCCCACGTGCAGGAGAGATTTAGAGATAGAAAGGAAGCATGGATGTGTATGGAAGACATTCTGGGCCAGGGACGAGGTGAGGTGCCTTGGACACTTCAAAAGGTCATTGCAAGAGGGTAAGACAAGCATGCCTTTAGTAGATAGATGTTTGCCCTGCCCCACTGATAGGTCAAAAGAAGTTTTCTCTGATCGTCTCTTCTGGGCAAGGCCTCTAATGATTGGTGAGCGTTCTTGACAGTGTTTGGGTCCGTCCTCTGCCCTGCCTTCGTCCCCCTGCACCTTTCTGAGGAAGGTGCTAGAACGGTGGCTGACTTTGCAAGCCAAGGCCTGAGCTACGGTGGTCCTGAGGCCAAGTTAGAAGCCCATGGAGACTGGAGGAAGGATGGGAGGCAGCCAGCAAATAGCAGGGCCCAAGAAAGGCCCCAGAGCTGGGTGTGCAGGAGCCTCAGCGTTAGGGAGCTGAGAAGCCACCAGCAGCGGCTGCCACGGTGCCCATAGTGGGCCTGGCACTGTGTCAGGTGTGGAAATTGCATTGTGTCATTTAATATTCACCGTGACAGTGTGAGGTCAGTGGGACTGTCGGCCCTGTTCACGTCCCCATCACACAGCGGTTATGCACCTGCTCTAGGCCGGGCACAGGGCTAGGTGGTAGGGACACGGCGGGGAGCAAACAAATCCACCCTGCCCCTCTCTAGTGCTCTGTCCGCTCCACAGTGGGTGGGAGGGAATGGGCCAGGCTCGCAGCCAGGCTGGGGCTCAGGACGGCTCGGAGCAGCTGGCAGGAGGGGCGGGAGGAGGGCCTGGAGGTCGGGACCGTGCACCTGGCCAGGGCAGTCCTGAGGGCCACCCTGCCTGCCCGCCTTGGGGGTGGCCCTGCTGGGATTCTCCAGAGCTGCCCTTCGAGGGGGTCTGGACTCTTCTCGAGCCTTGCTTCCCGGATAGGCCCGGGGAACAGCGAGAATGTGGGGGCCTAGTGCCCTCCCTGCGCCTCTCCATGGAGGAGACGCTGACCGCGTATCCCAAGGATGGGGTTCCCTGACCCTGCCGTTGACCTCAGGCTGCCAGTTCGTTGCGGTGCCAGACGAGACTGGTTCTCTTAAACACCTCAAGGCAGCAGCAGAGAACGCACACGTGTGTGTTCAGTCCTTCCTGAGGTGCCGGAAACTGGCCTCTGGGAAGCTCAGGGACGGCTCTTAAAAAGCAGCCATGGAGGTTCCCACAGGCAAACAGTTCTCAGCCCCCCAAACTCTAAGTCATTAGCGCCCGACCGCAAGGGCTGAGCTGTCAGTGCAAAGAGGAAGACAGTTTAACCAAGTGGGTGGAGGGAACGTAGAACCAAGATTGGAGGGTCCACCTCCGCTGTGCCCCTCCGCCCTCTGACCTGGGCGAAGCCAGACCTGTCACAGCCCCAGGGGCTGGGGAGCCAGAGTTTCCTGAGCCCTGATCCTGTGCCGGCCACCGTGCTAGGAGCTTGGCGTGTGCTTAATCTCCACAACAACCCAACTCCTAGACAATTAGCCAGGGAGCCTGGGGCACAGAGAGCTTCCTCAGCTGCCTGAGGTCACCACCCTGGAGGGAGATGACCGTGGGCAGGGACCCACGCCGTCTGACTCAGAGCCCGCTGCTGCTGTTTCTGCTTCTGCCCCAAGATTTTGTAGAAGTGGAATTTTGGGCCTTTGCACAAAATCATCATGCGCCAGACCAGCCTCAAACTTTAGGGAGCAATGTGGGCTGGGAGCACATCTCCAAGATGACATTGTTTAGGTAATGGCACAGCTCGTGGGTCCCAAGGGGTGAGTCTGTGTTCTGTGGCTTTGGGCAGCTCCCCTCCGCACGGCCCACTCTCCTCACCTCCCATCCCAGCTGCTTGGGGGAGGGGCGTGGTGACTGCAGGTGCTGAGCCGAGTCAACTGCGGAGGGAGCCGGGGAGGCAGGTGCAGTGTCGCCAGGCCGTGCGTTCTGCCTGGACTCGCTCCAGAACAGGAGGAAGGATGCTGTTTCCTTGTCCTTGTTCCTCAGGAGCCCACCAGGCCTGAGGTAGAAAACGCAAAGGCTCACTAGGACCAGGGAGGTGAAGAAGCGAGCAGTCGTGACTGGCCAGTGAACCCTCTTGCCCTTTTTGAACCCACAGCCCTCCTAGCCTACATTTCCTTTTTCCTCTGAAATGTGGACACAGAACATATTTCACGTTCCACATCACTCTGCTATTGGAGAAGCAGTCGTTCAGGCACGTGTGTCCGCGTGGGTGCTGGGGAGGCAGCTGGGGTCGGGGGGCGCACATGCTGTCTGTGGGGGAAGCTGCACTCCGCTCCTGCTGACTGTTGCTGCCATGTGGCCTGGATCTTCCGATTTTTAAGAGAAGGAAGAAAGCTAGATTTTTCTGTGAGGTCTTTCAATTGGAAATTATTAGATAATTCAATGAAAAACAAAGCCAAACCAACATAATGCTGCGCAGCCCAAAGCGCTACGCGGGCTGCGCAGGGCGAGGCCGGCGCTGGCTGCAAGCTGTGGTCTCCGCTCTGGCTCACGCCCGCTCTGTGTGGTGACTCGGCTGACAGGGGCATTTCCACTGGCCTTGAGCAGGGCTTGTGGGATTGTGGCTTCACCCCAGAATTGCCAGCCCATTTCCTGGGTGGTGACGATGAGCCATGAGACACTATGCCCATGTAGCAAAGCCCGGTGCCAGGAGCCCCTGGCTTCTCCGCTTGGGGATATTCACAGGTGGACTGGAGGTCGAGGTGAGAGCTCAGGCCATCTGGGTGGCAGATTTACAAATATAAAGCCTGGTTGTCTATTAGTGGTGACCCATGGTTGAAAGTGTACGAAATACAGAATGCTGACTATCCAGGGAGGAAACACCCATCTACCCAAAAGCAACCACTATTAACACATAATTGTGTTCCCTTTTTTATACACATAGATTAAATATTTTAGGAGGTTGTACTTGTATAGATAGTTTCATATCCTATTTTTAGCTCAACATTATAACAATTTTTATGTCATTAAAATTGCATATAAATTATTTTAAATAGATGGATAATATTTTTAAAAGATGAGCAATATTTTAAAAAGATGTGCAAATGCACATGC